CCCATTCGGACCCTGTTGGTGTGTTAACATATTGCTTATCTGTTTAGAAGTTATAATCTGGGAAATGAAATATGTTGATCTATCCCTACATTTGGCAGGGCTATCTTTACACTATTTAGTCTTCTAATCCATGCATATGGTAAATCTCTCTCCTTATTAAGGTTTTCTCTCATTTCTCTCAAAATTATTTAAAAGTTTCAGTGTATAAACATTGCACACATTTTGTTAGATTTAATGCTAGGTATTTGATGCTTACCTGTTGCTATTTTATATGATGCTATCTTAAAATAACTGTTTCATTTGTTGCCTCTTTAAAAAAATACATAAAAGTATTAAATAGGTGGAAAATTATATGCTCTGCAAACACTAGCCAAAAATAAATCTCATGATAATGTATTAGTATCAGACAAAGGAGACTATAACCAGGACACATTACTAAATATAAAGGGGACAATTCCATAACAATACAGGTTTTAATTTAAGGCTTGAAGGGATAAATAGACAAATCAGAAACTTTGGTGGGAGACACTGACACACTTATCTCAATAACTATTAGAATAACAGACAAAAAAATCACTATGCATATACAAAATCTAAACAACATTGTTAGTAAAGTGAACATAATTGAAATGATATGCATCACGGGACCCTCAAAAACAAACAATATATTTTAAGATGCATTGGGAATACTTCTAAAAACTGATCTTATGGGGCATCTGGGTGGCTCAGTCAGTTAAGCATTGACTCTTGATTTTGGCTCAGGTCATGATCCCAGGGTCGTGAGATCAAGCCCTATGTTGGGCTTGGTGCTCAGCACTGAGTCTTCTTGAGATTCTCTTTCCCTCTGCTCCTGCCCCCACTCACGTGCTCTCTCTCTCTAAAATAAAAAAACAAATATTTTTTTAAAAGATTGATTTTATGCTTCAATATAAAGAATTCTAAGCAATTTGCAATAATTTAGATAATTCACAGTATGTTCATTGACCATAATGAAATTAAGACAAATATTTAAAATTAGGACTAGTTAAAAACAAACAAAAAACCAAAAACCTAACTTCTGGAAAGTTAACAATTCACTTTCACATAATCCATGGGACAATGATAAAATGGAATAGAAATTATATTTTAAACTGAATGATACTGTAAATTTGATACATTAAAGCTTGTGAGATGCAGCTAAAGTGGGGCTTAGAGAGAAATGTATAACTTATATGTACATATCAGAAAAAACAAAAGCTGAAGATACTGTCCACTTCAAGAAGTTAGGAAAAGAACAGGAAATCATATGAAGAAATTAATAAAGAATAAAATAGTTATTAGAAATAATCTAAATAGAAAATAAACATATATTTCATAAAATCAATATAGCCAAATGTTGGTTTACTTAAATCAATTAATAAAATTGAAAATCTAGAATGAGAAATCAAGGAAAAAAAAAAGTACCATAATTTGCTGATTTTAGGAGTAAATAAGCAGAAATCTCTCCATAATCAAAAATATTTTTAAAAGATTTTATTTTTTTTTAATTTATTTTTTTTTAAGATTTTATTTATTTATTTGACAGAGAGAGAAAGAGAGAGAGAGAGGGGAGGAACAAAGGGAGGGGGAGAGAGAATCTCAAGCAGACGCAGTGCTGAGTATGGATCCCCACATGAGACCCTGAGATCATGACCTGTGCCAAAATCAAGAGTAGGACGCTTAACTGACTGAGCCACCCAGGCAACCCACAAAATATTATTTATTTATTTATTATTATTTTTTAAAATATTTTTTAATGTTTAGGAAGTCATCCTGAAAAACCTAATACAACACATGTGATCACTTTCAAAGTGGATGAACATGTTGAAATTTCAATTTAGGAAACTAAGAAGAAATATAAAATCTGTGATATCTATTAAATAAATCCAATCCCTTGCTAAAAATTCTCACACAAAGAAAACCACTATTCTCGTTAACTACCCTGATGAGTACCTCCAAACTTTAAAGGTAAATTTTGTGCAATTTATTTCAAAAAACACAATGTTTTTGAGATTTGTGCTATTGCATGCATTTGTGATTTTTTTCATTTTTAATGCTGAGTTATATTTCATTCTCTGTATGTACATATATATATATGCATATATGTATGTATGCATACGTATGTATTTGCAACTGATTCATCTATTCATCAGTTAATGAACATACATTTAAGTTATTTCCAATTTGGAGTTGTTATGAATAAAGCTGCCATGCACATTTTTGTACAAATTGTTGTGTATACAAATATTTAAATTTCTTTCAGATAAATGAATTGTTGGATTAAATAGATCTGTTTTAATTTGGATGTAATTTAATGGTTGGATTAAATGTCCATTTAAATCTATAAGAAATTGCCAAATTGTTCCCCAAAGTGGTTGAACAATATTAGTCCCCCCAACCAGTTTCATATAAGTCCAGTTGCTGCTCATCAACATTTGGTATCACAAGGGAATCTGTGGCTGTTTGCTTTATCCACTCCCATATAGGTACATAGAGGTGTCTCATTATGTTTTAAATTTTCAATGTCCTTGGTGACTAAGGATATTGAGCATATTTTCATATACTCATTGATTATTCAAATACATTTTTTGTGAGGTATCTATTCATATATTTTAAACTTTTAAAATACGTTTGTATTTACATTAAAAATTACAAATATTATTTACATATTTTGGATAAAAGCCATTTGTCAGATATAGACATTGCTTTAGGATTCCCTTTTCATTTTCTTAATGGTCTCTTTTAAAGAACAGTTTTTAATTTTGATGAAGTATAATTAAACAGCTTTTATGGTTAGTTTTTTGTTGTTTATTTCTTTTGTTTTTATTATTATTCTAGTGTGTGCATATATGTCCTTTATATAAAAAACCTTAAAGCACTCCATGATCCCAAAGATTTTTTTCAGTGCTTTCTTCCTGTTGTTTTCTAGTTTGGTCTTTGTGCTCAGACCTGATTATAGGTTTATATTTGTGCAGAAGTGAGACAGGAATTTTTAGATATTCTATATTTTCTACATTTACATAAATTCAACTCTAATCCACTTGAAATTTTTACTTTGGTGCATGTAATGATAAAATCACCTGTTTGCCATTTAACTGAATAGGGGAGGATGTTTGTAATTCTGTGTTTTCTAATTTTATGCCTCTGCTTTGTAGAAAAGATGAAGGGCAGAGAAAGAAGGATTGAGATATTAAAATTTCTGTTTCAAAAGAAAATTTCTGTTTCTGTAATTTGAAGTGTGTAGTTTATAAAACTTACTTTCCAATTGATAAACTGTTAATAGGTAAGAACACCACAGTAACTGATTATGCTCACTCTCTGATTGGTAAGTCTCTCCCAATTTATTACAAGGTCGGTAATATTGTTATTTCTCTTTTACAGATTTAGAAGCCAAGACACAAAAAGATTGTTTGACTTGTCAAAGTCAAACTGTATTAGCTAGTAACTACATGATAATATCTAAATCTGAATTTAAGGCCTGCCATTTAACCACTACTCATACTGTTTTTTCAAACAAAGGCAGAAATACTTGGTCCAGGACCACGAACCCATTAACCGTGGGCCAACCCAGGTGGGCCAAACTGTGGTACCACGATAGTTGTAGGTGTTGTTTCATCTTACTAATAATATTGAAACATCTGAAGATTTTATGTGGAAGTTCAGATTTCCTGATAATTATTTTTAAATTGAAAGGTATGAAGCCCAGTGATGGGTATTAAGGAGGGCACGTGTTGCAATGAGCACTGGGTGTTACACGCAAACAATGGATCATGAAACACTACATCAAAAACTAATGTTGAATCGCACATCTGTACCTCTGAAACAAATAATACATTATATGTTAAAAAAAAAAGGAAGAAGATAACAGGAAGGGAAAAATGAAGGGGGGGAATCAGAGCGGGAGAAGAGCCATGAGAGACTATGGACTCCGAAAAACAAACTGAGGGTTCTAGAGGGGAGAGGGGTGAGGGGATCGGTTAGCCTGGTGGTGGGTATTGAGGAGGGCACATTCTGCATGGAGCACTGGGTGTTATGCACAAACAATGAATCATGGAACACTACATCAAAAACTAATGATGTGATGTATGGTGATGAACATAACATAATAAAAAAAACTAATGAAGTACTCGTGACTAACATAACAATAAAAAAATAAATAAAAACCCAATTACAATATCTAACAGTATTTTAAAATATAAAGACAAAGTTGAAAATAAAAGATAAAATTATAGAAAAGATAGACTAGGCAAATAAGAGCTAAAGAAAGTAAGGTAGTGTGTTAGTCATGGTCCTTAAAAGAAACAGAACCAAGTGTGTGTGTGTGTGTGTGTGTGTGTGTGTAAAATAAAATAAAATAAAATGGAAAGGTCTGAAAATAATATGGCCTCTGTCCACTCCTACTAGAAGTTAATTGCAGGCTATTGCCCTTAGGTATCGTGTGCTCCCAAGTTGTCATGAAGCCAGTGTAACTCATTACATTGGCTTCTCTAAATATTTAAGTTTCTGAGTCTCCACTTAGTAATATTGGCTTGATGATCATTGAAATGTTCAAAATAGGAAAACAGACACTTAAGTTTTCAGTGATTAGAAACATAGCTATTCTTTTAAAAAGGTTTTATTTATTTATTTGAGAGAGAGAGAGAGAGCACAAACAGGGGGAGCGGCAGGCAGAGGGAGAGGGAGAAGCAGGCTCCCTGCAAAGGAGGGAGACTGACTTGGGGCTCTATCCCAGAATCCCAGGATCATGACCTGAACTGAAGGCAGATGCTTAACCGATTGAGCCACCCACAGGCCCCGAAACATTGCTATTTTTGTATGAAATGCACTTATTATATTTGGAAATGAGGCTTAATAAACATTAAATCACAATGAACTCAACTTACATAAATTGATCCAGAATTAAATGACCTTATAGACCAAGAGAGTATCTAAACCACGAGTCATCTACATGGGGCGCCCTACTCTAAATAGAGAAGAATAATGAAGTTTTTCCAACAACCATGGTTTTTTCTCTCCCCTTCAGAAACTACTCAGAGGATAATGGACCCTGGAAATCAGTCCACAGTGACTGAGTTCATCCTCGCTGGGCTAACAGAGAAACCGGAACTCCAGCTGCCCCTTTTCTTCCTCTTCCTAGGAATCTATGTGGTCACGGTGGTGGGGAACCTGGGCATGATCACTCTGATAGGGCTTAGCGTTCACTTGCACACCCCCATGTACTACTTCCTCAGTAGCTTGTCCTTCATTGATCTCTGCCATTCCACTGTCGTTACCCCCCAAATGCTGACAAACTTTGTGACAGAGATGAATGTCATCTCCTACCCTGAATGCATGACTCAGCTCTATTTCTTCCTTGTTTTTGCTATTGCAGAGTGTCACATGTTGGCTGCAATGGCTTATGACTGCTACGTTGCCATCTGTAGCCCCTTGCTTTACAATGTCATCATGTCCCATCAGACTTGTTTCTCCCTGATTTTGGGAGTGTATATTATAGCCCTGGTTTGTGCATCTGTTCACACAGGCTGCATGTTTAGGGTTCATTTCTGCAAATTTGATGTGATCAACCATTATTTCTGTGATCTTCTTTCCCTCTTAAAACTCTCCTGTTCTAATACTCATGTCAATGAATTCCTGATTCTAGTCTTTAGTGCAATTAATATCCTTGCTCCCAGCCTGACGATCCTTAGCTCCTACATCTTCATCCTCTCCAGCATCCTCCGCATCCACTCCACTGAGGGCAGGTCCAAAGCCTTCAGCTCCTGCAGCTCCCACATCTCAGCTGTTGCTCTCTTCTATGGATCTGCTGCATTCATGTACTTGCAGCCATCATCTGTGAGCTCCATGGACCAAGGGAAAGTGTCCTCTGTGTTTTATACCATCATTGTGCCCGTGCTGAACCCCCTGATCTACAGCCTGCGGAATAAGGATGTCAAATTTGCCCTGAGGAAAATGTTAGAGAAAAGAATATTCTTGTGATTAGAAATAACATGAGGATCTTTTATTAGTCTAAGTCATTGTCTCTTAGATTGTATGGATTGACATGTTTAATTTTAGTCCATTTGTCAATATACATCCTCATTTAGTGGGATTCTATTGACATTAGTTCTTACTCCTATGGCCTTTTGATGTCACTGCTCTCTGGATTTTTCTCTCATGGGTATCTCTGAGACACTGAGTATAAGTACTAAGGATGATCTGGATATATGGACCCACTCACTAATGCCATTACCATCACCCTTCTCCCTTGTCCTTTGTACAACTGATAAAAACCCAATTCTCAGGGCGCCTGGGTGGCTCAGCCCTTAAGCGTCTGCCTTTGGCTTAGGTCATCATCCCAGGGTCCTAGGATCAAGCCCCGCATGGGTTCCCTGCTCCATGGGAAGCCTGTTTCTCCCTCTCCCACTCCCTCTGCTTGTGTTCCCTCTCTCGCTATGTCCCTCTCTGTCAAATAAATAAATAAAATCTTAAAAAAAAAAACAACTCAGTTCTCAACCATAATGAAAGTTATCTTCTAGCAGTGGTTAGCAATCTCCTTTTTTCTGTGTAAAGACAATAAAAATTATAGCAATACAATTATGTAATCTTTAGTTTTTGCTCCTCTTTAGCTTTTGCATCTCTAGTCTGGGAAAGCCTCTTTCCCACCATATCCTACCCCATACCCTCCTTTCCTGAATTATTTCCTCTATTTCATACCTAAGAAATCTAATCAGAACTTTAAAATCTGAGTTACAGACCCATGAGTGTTGTTTGTGTCCAATCCAATATCTTCCTGCTTTGCCATCTATTATTCCAGTTTGTAGTGGTCTGTTTATTGTCCAAGTCCACACTAGACCATAAGCTCCATCAAAGGAGACCCCTGTATATATGGTTCACAGCCATGTCTCCAAATAGCAGAATGTCTGCTACCTAGTAGGTCCTTGATAATTTTCTTGGTAATTACTTTCCCTCTATAAAATATTTATATGAAAACCAGCATTCATCCAATGCGGTCTTCACCCATTAAACCCTTAAAGTGATATATATGGCTTTCTGGTTTTGGTTCAAATCAATTAAGTGTAACTTTGGAGAATTCTATAAGGATCTTTAAGATAACTTACAGCATCCTTTGTTGTTTCTATCCAAGGATTAAGAAATACTAGTCCTGAGTTTGTTCTGTTGTAAATCACAGCACAGATATGGTAACTTGTTAAATCTGATTTTTTAAGTCATTAGGTCCTGTCAACATCCAAGAAGTCCCTGAAACAAGTCTAATTTATTTTTGAATTCAAGTATGCAGTCTTAGAGACTAAACAAAATTAAGTAGATTTGAAATCTAATGGGTCAACATGGCAAATCATGTGGTTGAATAATATCTGGAACCCAAACAACCCCATCTAGGCCACTCTTTCCAAATAATTTAACTGCATGCTGGCAGAGAGGAAATTCTTCGCTATTAAATATTTAAATATAAAGCCTTGGTTACTGCCTCCAGCAGATACATTTTACTCTTCTTTAAAATTTAAATTCAATTAGCTAAATTGCACATAATGAAAAAATAAAAAAAATAGAGTTACCTGGGTGCCCTTTGCACAGAACAGTTAATCTGTTGTTATGTGCATGGTGGGAGAAACCTCTCTTAGTTTGGGAAACATGCTGCTAGACCAAATAAATGGTGATCCTGTCTTTCTTTAAAATGTTGATAGTTTGTTGATGATGGATTTTTTTTGCACCAATTTTGATTTTTTTGAAAAATATTGCTTTAAAATCTTATCTTGATTACTGAATTTTTGGATGCCCCTTACATTGTGCACCTGTGGAAAATTTTGCACTCATCTCAGCCTGATCCAGGCCCTGAATAAATCCTCAAATTTGAAAAATAAATAGATAAATAATAAATAAATAAATAAATTCAATTAGCCAATGTATAGTACATCATTAGTTTCAGATGTAGTGTTCAATAGTTTATCAGTTGCATATAACACTCTTCTCTAACTTTTGTTTTTTGATTTTCCCCCTTTTATTTTTATTATTATTATTTTTTATTTGAGTACAGCTGACATACATTACATTAGTTTCAGGTGTACAACATAATGATCTGACAACTCTATACATTACGGTATGCTTACCACAAGTGTAACTACCATCTCTCACCATACAAAACTAATGCAGTACAATTGACTATATTCCCTGTACTGTACCTTTCATTCCTGTGACTTATTCATTTCATAACTGGACACCTGTACGTCCCTCTCACCTTCACTCATTTTTCCCATCCCCCATCTCCTCCCCTCTGGCAACTATCAATTTGTTCTCTGTATTTATGGGTCTGGTTCTGCTTTTTTTGTTTTCTCATTTGTTTTGTTTTTTTAAGATTCCACATGTAAGTGAAATCATATAGTATTTGTTTTTCTCTGTCTAACTCATTTCACTTAGCATAACACACTCCAGGTCCATCTATGTTGTCCCAAATGGCAAGATCTCATCCTTTTTTATGGCTGAGTAATATTCCTGTGTGTGTGTGTGTGTGTCCACCTAACTTTGCATTTGAGCTCAGACCAGTCATGCTCAGAGGCCTCCTCTGACCTTCAACTTTCTTCCTAGGCCCTTTAACTTACATTTTCTTTTTTAAAAAAATATTTATTTATTTGAGAGAGAAAGAGAGATCATGGGGGCAGGAGGGGCAGAGGAAGAGAGAGAGAAAATATGAAGCAGACTCCATGCTGAGCATGGAGCCCAAAAGCAGGGCTTGATCCCATGACCATGAGGTCATGACCTCATGATCCAAAACCAAGGATCAGATGCTCAACCAACTGAGCTATCCAAGCACCCCTCTCTTTTATTTTCTAAGCTCATACAACAATCATGTGGTGAAGTTAGGGCAAAATCATAAGATTTCTGGTTTTTCTATATTCATTATTTCTGCCATATAACTAATTTTTTGCCCAGTCAGAATTATGTTCTCTTTTGCTATATGTTACCATGCTAACTGCTACACCTCTAGAGTTCTTTAATTTTCTAAGGTTAAAGGCACAAGTCCTTGTGCATGCTAGTCTATATATAAGCTAGAAAGTGAGAGAGGTAAAGAGGTAAGCTTCAGAAGAAACAGAGAACCTCCTTTAGCAAATGAGCCCTAATTTGAGTGAGCAATAGGCTACCAACAATCCCCGGAAGAATCTGGAACAATCCTGGAAGAAGAGATTCAGAGACATTTTATCTTATTGGATGGGCAACCTCAGAGTTGGCTGGGTGTGAATGACACTCTTGCACATAAACCACAAAACCACTGGGCTCATGATCAATGAGACACTGAGAATCTCAAAGTCATCTGTTCACAGATTCAAGTGATCATTGTCACTGAGCTTCCTTCAGCCACCAACATTCTCCAGCTAGTACTTTGCTATCTATGTAGCCACTTATTTTGTGTTCCAATCCAATGTTAGTAAAATCTCCTATCCAGTGACATCCAAACAACCAAATATAAATGCTCATTTCAAGGGTCTTCTGCTCAGACTCCAAGACATGACCTTGGGGAAGTTACCCTTTACTTCTCTGCTCAAACCTTCTCTTCGGCTATCTCATCCTCCTCCATATCACCCCACAGTGGAACTCTTAATCATTCTCTCAGCCATATCTTTTTTTTTTTTTTTTGAACTATTTAAAAAGGGGGCATAAAAGTGAAATGGGATGAGGAATCTGAAGTGCCAATTTATGGGGTAAAAGTGTATAGTCAGAGAATATTACAAACCATGCTTCGTGCTCATTTCCCTTACTTGAGTTTCGTAGATGGAATTTATAACAAATAAAAATCCTCTGACCTACTATGATTCATTATCCAGATTTCTTGACATCCTGAAATCTCTTCAGTTTTAGGTTGTTTTTTAATATTCCTTTTTTATTAAGAATATGTAATACTTAGGTAATCTTGGAATTTGCTTTATTTTTGATGTGTATCTACAGTATATTCTAGAAAACAAGTATGAATTTATTCCATATGTTTGGCACCAAGATATTGAGAATTCCAGTCTTACCATTACCAAGTTAATGGCTTGGTAAGCCAGATATATTCAGTGTTATAAGACAAACACTGCTATCTTCATATCCACTGAATTTTGCATTTGGGCCCAGACTAATTATGCTCAGAGTCCTCTTCTTTAGGGGTTTCATCCCTTTTCAGTAGAAGAACCTTTTGTAAAGCTTTATTGTATCTTCTCAGATATATTTGAAAAGATGAACAACATAATAAAATCAAAGAATCTCAAAGTTTATAAAGGACATTAAGGATGTATGTAGGATAATCTTGCATTCAAATTAGTGATACAAGGTCATCAGAGCCCTGAAAGAATGTCATCTTACTCATACTTAAACTCTTATAGTGATAGAAACCCAATCCTTCACAAGGCATCTTATCTCATTAATTTCTTTTTCTATACTGAAATAAAATCTAACTTTTTATTAGTTCCATTCTTTTTTTACTGGTTATCCACCATGAAAAAGCACATAAAAATTCAGTATAGCAGCTCCTCAAGAATTTGAAAACATGTGCCATATTTCTGCTTTTCTAACCAAAATGTCTCAGGAGCTTTCACAGCAGAAGAATTTAAAGCTTTGGCCTGGAATCAGACCTGGGATTTAATCTCAGCTCAGTCACTTTCTAGCTATGTGATCAAGTTCTAAAATTTATTGGTGCTTTTATTCCTCTCCTACTTAATAAGGTTGTTTTGGGACTTAAATTTAAACATAAAAGAACATAAAAATAAATCAGCATAGTACCTGGCAAATGTTCAATCCATATTATTGTTATTTTTATTAAACCATTTTCATCTGGGATGTTTTTTTTTTTTTAAAGATTTTATTTATTCATTTGAGACAGAGAGATACAGAGAGAGAGAGAGCATGAGCAGGGGAGAGGCAGAGGGAGAGGGAGAAGCAGGCTCCCTGCTGAGCCAGGAGCCAGACGTGGGGCTTGATCCCAGGACCCTGGGATCATGACCTGAGCC